AGGCCCTCTTGGAGCCATCTTGGGCGATATCTTGGACGCTGCTATGGGTCCGCCCCCTCCCCCCCCGTCCAACCGCAGGGAGGGGGGGGGGGGGGGTGAACCCTCCGAGCAGGGAAAGGCATGAGGTTGGAAAGGGACACGCCCTAGACCAAAGAGCCCCAAGAAGCCCCAAGAAGGCCCTGAGAGGACCTCAGGAGAGCCCCAGGAGGCCCCAAGAGGGGCCCAAGAGAATCCCAAGAGGGCACCAATATGCCTCCAAGTTTCGGAACGCACGCGAGTTTAAGATACAAATCCATGCAGCAGCCGTTACGAGTCATCGACATACCCCTCATAGCATCGAAGCGCCATCGTAACTTGCACTGATTTCCATCTTAAACTTCAACGCGGGAAGCTATGTGTGAAGTTTTTTTTTTTTTTTTTTTTTTTACACCCCAACATGATTCAAACGCAGTAGAAACATGTTAGCGCCTCGGCCTGTTCAGCTATGTGTGATGCTTGTGTTCTCGAGGACGGCTGCGTGACTGCATGCGTCATGCCGCCCTTGATTCACCAACTCCCCTGCTGATCGTTTCTGGATGGCCTGGTGGGGATACGCGGAGCGTCAAGAATTGCAATCAACAAGCGCATGCAAGTTGGATGTGATGCATCTGGCGGCCCCTCACCCTTCTCAGCCTCCTCATCCTCCTCATCTTCCTCCTTATCCTCCTCCTCAAGCCCATCTTCTACCGATTCTTAAGTTTTCAGAATAGGCCAGGGCGTCTGGGGGAGGGGACGGCCGTGCCCCGCTCGGATCCTCGAGGGATTTGTAAGCATACGTATCCTCCTCTTCCTCCTCCGTCTCCTACTCCTCCTTCTCCTCCTCCTCCTCCTCCTCCTCCTCCGTTTCCCCCTCCTCCTCCTCCTCGGTATTATCCTCGTCGTGGCCCCATGTTCATTTTCATCATCATGGTTTGCAAGCCTTTATGGTTCTACCCCTCATTCTTCGGCTCGGCCGCTCAATCGCGGCGGCACCGTTCTCGAGAACGTTCTCGGGCATGTCGGGCAGGGGCGCGGGCCAGCAGCGGCACGGAGGAGGGAGGGGAGGGGAGTTGTAGACAATGGAGAGTAGGGGGAGGGAAGAGAGGAGGGAGAAATTGAAGATGCGGGGGAGGAGGAGGAGGAGGAGGAGGACGAGGAGGAGGAGGAGGAGGGAATGAAGACGAGCAGAGGGGGAAGCTCGAGCATGAGGACGGGGGCGTTGCTCACTCCTTCTTCGCCCTCTTGGGCGTGGGGGCCATCCTCGAGAACCACTCGACGACTACGTTGAACTCTGAGTAGATGGCGTCCAGCTTCCTGGCAACGGCCAGGATCTCTGGATCTGGGACGGGGTCGGCGTCCTCGGACGAGCTCTTGAGATGGATTTTCTCGACGCTGTTGAATGTAGACTTGAACCTGGGAATCAGCTTCTCAACGTCTGTCTTCAGCGGACCCAGGTACTTCGACTTCGATTTATCAGATGCCACCTCGAAGATGCGCTTTGCCTCTGTGAGCGATTCGGAGAGGGATCGTAGGACCGCCTTGGGCTTGTCCTTGATCGAATTGAAGGTCTTCATGTCCTCCTCTGGCTTCTGCCCCTCGACCTTGATCTTCACGTCCTTGAGCTTCTCAGCGCCTGCACTGCCAGAGCTGCTAGGCGCGGTCTCGAGGATGCCAGCTGCCGCCAAGTCCTCCGCGAACTCAGCCTTCTCCTTCTCTGACGTAATCTCCTTCTCGGACTCCATCGTTTTCCCAGCGTCGTCGGTGTTGGTGTTGATCTCCTCGTCCTCGTAGATCTTGCATTCTCGACTCCACTCGTCGTCCAGCCCCGTGTCTCGATCAGGCCTGTGGCGATCGGCCTTGTCGCCCAATAGTTTGATCTTCGCGAGCGCCTTATGCTCGCCAAACAGCTGGATCATGCCGTGCTTCGCCATCCACTTGCTCTTGTCAACATCCTCCTTCTTATGGTTGACCTTCCTCCACGTGCGATTGACCGAGTTGCCCTCCTTCATTGATTTGGCAACCCAGCTGACGAAGAAGACCTTGCGAGCAGCTGGCGTCAACGCGTCGTATCCAGCTCTTTTCCCTTCCGATGCCAGCCAGTGCATCAAATTTGAACTCTGTCGATGCTTCACTTCCTTGTCCTCCAAGAACTTTTTCGCATCCTGAACATCCTTGTCGGTGACAGATGGCATTTCCAGAGGTTCTGCGTCAACTGCCACCTTTTTTTTCCCCTTGGGAGGCATCCAACCAAATCAAATGCAAAGTTGACGTCTGTTCAGTGATGCACGTGCGCGGCTGTGAGTGTGAGCCAAAACGTGCCTGTGCGGTACATGCGTGAACAGTTTTCCAGAATTTCCAGACTTTCTCCAGACTCTGGAAAAAGTCTGGAGTTTATGCTTTCTGATTGAATCTGGTTATATACATGTTTTCCAGAATTTTTCCAGAGTCCGGAAAAAGTCCGGAGAATTCTGGAAAATCAAACTGGCACCAGGCAAAACAACCATTCCAAGTCCGAGGGTGAAGATGGGCAGGTTGCCTCTACCAAGAGGGGGCCGTAGGGGGCCGTGAGGGGCCGTAGGGGCCGTAGGGGGCCCCATGGGGCCGTAGGGGGCCGCACGGGGGCCGTGGGGGCCTCAGGGGGCCTTGAAGGGGCCTTAGGGTGCCTTAAGGGGGCCGCATGGGCTTGGGTGACTTGAAACGTTCCTCCCTCCTCCTCCTCCTCCTCCTCCTCCTCCTCCTCCTCCTCCTCCTCCTCCTCCTCCTCCTCCGCTTGAAACGTTCCTCGCTCCTCCTCCTCCTCCGCGGGCCACTGGAATCCCACCAGCCCTCTGGGCGCAGGTGGTCTAGGGCGTTTCCCTTTCCAACCTCCTGCCTTTCCCTGCTCGGGAGGTTTACCTCCCCCCCCTCCCTGCGTTTGGACGGGGGGGGGGGACGGACCCATAGCAGCGTCCAAGATGGCCCAAGATGGCTCCAAGAGGGCCTCCGAGAGCGCAAGATGGCCTCCAAGATGGCCCAAGATAGCGGTAGACGGGTCAAGGTAGCCTCCGACACGCGTCCAAGAGGCTTCAAGACGGCCCCAAGACGGTTTCAAGTGCCCTCCGAGGCCTCCAAGGACCCCCCCCCCCCCCCCCCCCCCCCCCCCCCCCCCCCCCCCCCTCCCAAGAGGCCAACATCCTTGACAAGTTAGGGAAAACCACTTTTTTTGCCTTTTTTTTTTTTTTTTCCCCTTTTTTTTTTATTTTTCTTTCGTTTTTTCGCCTCCGAAGGGCTCTTGAGGCCTCAAGATGGCACCAAGATGGCCCAAGACAGCCCCAAGAGGGGCCCAAGAGAGCCCCAAGACGGCCCCAAGAGCGCCCAAGAGCGCTCCAAGAGCTGGCCAAGAGGGTCCCAAGACTGTATTGTTTAGCCTCCGAGGGGGAGGGGTAAGATGCCCCCCCCCCCCCCACCTCCCCCCTTTCTTTAGCCATGAGGACCCCCCCCGCAGAGCCCCAAGAGGGCCCCAAAACCTTCCAAAAGAGCCCCAAGAAGGCCCCAAAAGAGCCCCAATAAGCCCCAAGAAGGCCCTAAGATGACCTCAGGAGAGCTCCAAGAAAGAGCCCCAGGATGCCCCAAGAGGGGCCCAAGCGAATCCCACGAGGGCCCCAAGATGCCTCCAAGTTTCGGAGCGCACGCGAGCTTAAGATACAAATCAGTGCAACAGCCATTACGAGTCATCGAAATACCCCTCATCTCATCGAAGCACCATCGTAACTTGCACTGATTCCCATCTTAAACTTCAATGTGGGAAGCTATGTGTGATGATTTTTTACACCCCAACATGATTTTAACGCAGTAGAAACATGTTAGCGCCTCGGCCTGTTCAGCTATGTGTGATGCTTGTGTTCTCGAAGGCTGCTGCGCGACTGCATGCGTTATGCCGCCCCTGATTCACCAACTCCCTTGCTGATCGTTTCTGGATGGACTGGTGGGGATACGCGAAGCGTCAAGAATTATCAGGACGCAGGCCTCCTCATCCTCATCCTCTTTCCCATCCACATCCTCCTCATCGTGCTGATTGTCCTATTCATCCTCCGCACCCTCCTCGCCCTCTCTCCCTCACCTCCCCCCGCAAGCACGCGCGCGCTCGGGGCGCGGGTGCGTTCCTCGAGGTCGAAGTTGTAGCACGGGCGCGAGCGAGCGCGGGCGACGACGACGACGACGACGATGCCTCCTCATTGGTATCTCCTCATCCTCCCCCTACTCCTCGCTGTCACTGCTCCCACGGCTGCTTCTCCCTCCGAGTCGTTCGGTCCTCTCCCACCTCGCCCTCCTCTTCGCTCCTCCTCATCCCCTCCCACTGCTCCTCATCGTCATCATCGTCTCGCTCTCTCTCTCTCTCTTTTCCTCTCTCTCTCTCTCTCTCTCTTTTTTCTCTCTCTCTCTCTCTCTCTCTCTCTCTTTTCCTCTCTCTCTCTCTCTCTCTCTTTTTTCTCTCTCTCTCTCTCTCTGCCTCACTCCCCGACTCCTCCCCCTCTCATTCTCCCTCCCTCCTCCTCCCCCTCGCTCTCTCCCTCACGTCGGCAAGCCCCTCTGGGGAAGGGGACGGCTGTGCCCCGCTCGGCAAGCGACAGGGGGGGATGTATCACCGCTCGTGATTCATGCGGTTTCGGTCCCCCCCATGGCCCAACGGTCATGCCCGCGTAAATGCGACTTCGCATGTTCGTTCAAACGGGGTGATTCAGCCAGGACCCTGGTTCCACGCCGCCCGCAAGCATGATGGTGATGATGATGATGATGATGATGATGATGATGATGATGATGATGCTGATGCTGATGATGATGATGACGACGGTGATGATGATGATGATGACGATGCTGATGATGATGATGATGATGATGATGATGATGATGTTGATGATGATGATGATGATGATAATGATGATGATGCTGATGATGTTGACGATGGTCATGCTGACGATGATGCCGATGGTGTGGTTTTGTGGGTCGACATTCCCACGACTATCAATACCATGCTTTCGAGCTGAGGCACTCGGCCGGCAATCCACAAGGCCGACGGGAACGCATCGCAGCAGCTGGGGACTTGAAATGTATGCTCGGCACTCACGCACGCGCACTCACTGGCGCAAGCTGTCGGTCGGTTCATCGAAGTCGTCGAAGGGAGGCTGCGTGCCGTCCTCCAGCACCTCGATGCTCTCGCTGTCGCTGCCCATGATCTCAGCGCTCGTCGGCACTGGCGCTGTAGCGTCATCTGGCGAGGACGGGGTCCTCCTCACCTTCCTCGCGGGGGGCTGCATCATGTTGTCGAACGTGGACTTCGCCTCCTTGAAATCCTCGCGTATGGCCGCGAACTTCTCAAGCAATGCTGACTCCTGCTTTGCGGTAGCCTTCTCGCTGGACGACGTTATCTCGACGACCGCCACGAGGAGTTTGTCGAGTTGCTCATTCAGGCTGTCGGAGTAGCGATGCTTCGGAGCGTCCTCGAGCATCTCGTGCAGGACGATCTTCATGTTCTCCACGTCCTTCCTCCAATCGTAAACGCCGACGTGCGAGGATCCCTGGGTGGAGGGCGCCATCGCCATCCTTGAACGAGGTGCTAGCCTTCGGCGTGATAGCTATAATCAAATGCACGGACCTGCTGAGGCGAAGCCTGAGCCAAAATAGCTACGGTGTAAGTGGACATGGTAGTGATAATCGGGAGTTCTAGTGAACGTGTTGTTGGAGGTAGTGGGCGTGGACTGTACTTGATTTAGGTGGTGTTCAATGGTCTAGTCTTAGTGGGTGGTGGTGGTCAGTGGCCTAGTGTCAGTAGGTGGTGGTTAATGGTCTGGTCTGAATGGGTGGTGGTAGGTGGTGGTTTGTGGTCTGGTTTTAAGGGGTGGTGGTGGTAGGTCGTACTCGCGCCTAGTGAGGCGCGTCTAAAACCAGATATCGACTCGACGACCATCGTCCAACACCTGCACGCGGCTGAGATGCATGTATCAGTGGCGCCTTTATCGTTTGTGATTTATGTTTTTGCTCCGTCTCGAACCGAATGCACGATGCGGCAAGATCCCGTGGTGTCTTTGTGCCTGTATGCCAGTAAACACGGCACTGGCACCATCCCTCTCGATATGTCTACACACCAGAGACAAAACCGTGCAACGAGCAAGTCAGGAATCACATTCAAAGCCGGCCTGAGGTGGACGAGACGGATGCTGAGCAAGGGTTGGGCAATGCGGAGGACGAGGAGGAGGGGGAGGAGGGGGAGTTGGAGGAGGAGGAGGAGGAGGAGGAGGTGCAAATGGGCGGAAACGAAACACGGAAGGAGGATGAGGAGGGTGAGGGGCGAGGGGGACTTTGGAGGAGGAAGTTGAAACATCGGAGAAAGATGATTATGAGTAGGACGCTGGGGAGAAATTTGGGCTTGTGGCGAGGAGAAGGATGAAACGGAAGCGGTTGAAGAGGATAGATTTCAGGAATATCTACTGGAGGGAGATGGGGTTGAGACTCGTCTGCTTAGCCAAACGTGATGGGCCATGGCGCCAGCTCAGATCGAGATGACCACGATCAAGACACGAGCTCGCCTGTCTTGAGAATTTTTTTGTCTCTGAGCATATTGCGAAGCTCCTCCATGCGGGCCTGCCCAGCTGCACTGCCAGCGGCCGCAATCTCAGCATCTGATTTGCCCTGGGTAGCGGCCAACTTCTTCGCAGCAAACCAACTTTTCCAGTGCTCTCGCTTGCAGAACGCCTTCCACTGATCATCCTCAGAGAGATGCTTGCCCTTGCCCTTAGTCGCACCTGCTGCCTTCATGCACTTCATCGTTTTCATGACCGTCATCGCCTTCGCCTTGCCTTTCGCCTTCGCCTTCAACGCGACGTTGACGTCCTTGAAGGATCGAGACGTGATGGCCGTGCCAGACGCCGCTGCCAAGCGCTCAAGCTCGCTGCTCTCAACGCCCAGCGTCAGTGTCACAGACGGCCTTGGGTCAGCCGTCTTGTGCGTCAGTCTGCGTCGGCCCGTGCCCTGGAGCAAGGCGTTCAGGCGTGGGTCGGCGCTGCTGAACAGCTCGTCCTTGTTGATGGGGCTGCCGTCGGTGTCTGAGTCATCCACCACTATGGTCTCTATTTTCTCAGCCTCGCCGCACGTGACCTCCACATCCGAATCATCAGACACTGTTCCCAATGGCAGCCCAGCAGACCTCGGAGTATGAGTGGGCTTCTCGCTGACCTTCAGCTTGTCCCGCAGCACTGCGTATTTAGCCGTCCACGCCGCAGGCACACACCTGGCGTTCGATTTGTGATTGAGCATTTGACAGAGAAGGGCCCTGAGTCCGAATATGACTACGTCGTTCTCGACTTTGGCTGGATCGTGGCCGCGTTCCTCAATCCAGGAAGCCAGGTGCTTCAGCAAATCCTTCTGATGTACGGCTTGACCGTCGGATGCATCAAGAATGATCTTGAGTGTCGGTATCAGCTTCACCCCCTTGGACCATTTCGGGGCGTTCTTGAACGCTTTCTCTGGGTACATCAACCTCGGAGAAGTGAAAGCAATCGGTGGCAACTCATCGAATGCAAGGCATGCTGCGTCGTATGCAATGTCAACAGATTTTCTGTACCCCTTCTTAGTGGCAGCCATATGCTGAAGAAAAATATTATAAGCCACAAAATGGCTACGGAGATCAGGCGCCATCACGGACGCCACAGACCACGATGCACGCGCTAACATAATCACGAGCACCGCGTGATATTCTATGAAATTGCCTCAGCGACAATATTATCGTATCATGTTGGCTTAAATGGTTATGTTTTGATATGAAATGGTGATGTTTGGGTGATTTTCGTTACGCATGCGTACATTCGTGCACGTACAAATCACACACGCGCGTTTATTATCACACACGCGTCTTTATAATGGTCGTCTACGAGGCTCGGGGTTCCAGGGCGCCGGGAGCAGAAAATCAATATTTTCGAAAGAAAAATATGTCTTGGAGTGGCCTTTTTTCCGCACCGCCTCGGATTTCAATTTTCCGGCGCCGGCCGGCGCCGGAACCGGCCCGGGCGCTGGCCCGGGTGCTGGCCCAGGCGTTCGGCTCGAGCGCCGGCCCGGGTGCCGGAAGCGGCCCGAAAGGGGTTCCCTTCCCGGGCGCCGGGAGCAGAAAATCAATATTTTCGAAAGAAAAATATGTCTTGGAGTGGCCTTTTTTCCGCACCGCCTCGGAATTCAATTTTACGGCGCCGGCCGGCGCCGGAACCGGCCCGGGCGCTGGCCCGGGTGCTGGCCCAGGCGTTCGCCTCGAGCGCCGGCCCGGGTGCCGGAAGCGGCCCGGAAGGGGTTCCCGGGCGCCGGGAGCAGAAAATCAATATTTTCGAAAGAAAAATATGTCTTGGAGTGGCCTTTTTTCGGCACCGCCTCGGAATTCAATTTTCCGGCGCCGGCCGGCGCCGGAACCGGCCCAGGCTGCCGGGCTCCTGTGTGGTCAGCCGTGCTCCTGAGGCGTCTACGGTGCTCTTTTGGGGTCTGCCGTACTCATTTGGGGTCTGCCGTGCTCCTGTGGTCGGCCGTGCTCATTTGGGGTCTGCCGCGCGCCTGTGAGATCTGCCGTGCTCCTGTTGGGGAAACGCCAGCAGCGTTCGGGGTACAACAAAAAGGCGCGTTTATGTTGTACCCGCGCGCGGTCTGCCATGCTCCTGTGGGTTCCGCCGTGTTCCTGTGGCGTCTGCCGTGCTCCTGTGGCGTCTGCCGGGTTCCTGTGTGGTCTGCCGTGCTCCTTTGTGGTCTGCCGTGCTCCTGTGGAGTCTGCCGTGCTCCTGTGTGGTCTGCCGTGCTCTTGTGGTCTGCCGTGCTCATTGGGGATTTGCCGTGCTCATGTGGGGTCTGCCGTACTCCTGTGTGGTCTGCCGTGCTCCTTTGTGGTCTGCCGTGCTCCTTTGGGGTCTGCCTTGCTACTGTGGGGTCTGCCGTGCTCCTGTGTGGTCTGCCGTGCTCCTGTGGTTTGCCTTGCTCCTGTGTGGTCTGCCGTGCTCCTTTTGGGTCTGCTCTGCCGTGCTCCTGTGTGGTCTGCCGTGCTCCTGTGGGGTCTGCCGTGCTCTTGTGGGGTCTGCCGTGCTGTTGTGTGGTCTGCCGTGCTCCTTTGTGGTCTGCCGTGCTCCTGTGTGGTCTGCCGTGCTCCTGTGTGGCCTGCCGTGCTCTTGTGTGGTCTGCCGTGCTCCCGTTGGTCTGCCGTGCTCTTCTGTGGTCTGCCGTGCTCCTATGGGGTCTGCCGTTGTTCGGCCGTCTTGAGGGCACTCTTAGGGCATAGTCTGCCGTGCTCCTCGTTTTGGTCTGCCGTGCTCCTCGTCTTGGTCATCCTTTCCGTCGTCTTGAGGGCGCTCTTGGTGCCTGGTCTGCCGTGCTCCTCGTCTTGGTCTGCCGGGCTCCTCTCGGTTCCTAAGCCTGGTCTGCCGTGCTCCTCGTCTTGGTCTGCCGTGCTCCTCTCGGTTCCTACGCGCGGTCTGCCGTGCTCCTGTGGGGAGCACGGCAGACCACAGGAGCACGGCAGACCACACAGGAGCACGGCTGACCACACCTCGATTTTTTGAGGATGTCTCGAGCGAAATGGCCGTGGTCTGCCGTGCTCCACACAGGAGCACGGCAGACCACCTGCTCATTTTCTGAAGACGTCCCGAGCGAAAACGTCATTTTTAACATAAGAGGTTGTAAAACACCTCTGTCGGCATCATGTTGGACTCGGTTCAGCTCTGTGGGGCCATCGGCCGGAAGGGTTTCCAGGGCGCCGGGAGCAGAAAATCAATATTTTCGAAAGAAAAATATGTCTGGAGGTGGCCTTTGTTCCGCCCGCTCGGAATTTCAATTTTCCGGCGACGGCCGGCGCCAGAAACGGCACGGGCGCGGCCCGAAGTGCGGCCCCAGGCGTTTCGGCTCGATCGCCGGCCGGGGTCCGGAAAAGCGGCCCCGGAAGGGGTTCGTTCCGGGCGCCATCTTATGCAGAAAATCAATATTTTCGAAGAAAAATGTATGTCTTGGAGCGGCCTTTTTTCAGCACCGCCTCGGGAATTCAAATTTTCCAGGCGACGGCCGGCGCCGGAACCGGCCCGGGCGCTGGCCCGGGTTGCTGGACGGGCGTTCGGCTCAAGCGCCGGCCGGGTCAAGAGCGGCCCACCGGAGCAGAAAATCAATATTTTCGAAAGAAAAATATGTTTTGGAGTGGCTTTTTTTCGGGGAGCAGAAAATCAATATTTTCGAAAGAAAAATATGTCTTGGAGTGGCCTTTTTTCCGCACCGCCTCGGAATTCAATTTTCCGGCGCCGGCCGGCGCCGGAACCGGCCCGGGCGCTGGCCCGGGTGCTGGCCCGGGCGTTTGGCTCGAGCGCCGGCCCGGGTGCCAGAAGCGGCCCGGAAGGGGTTCCCGGGCGCCGGGAGCAGAAAATCAATATTTTCGAAAGAAAAAATATGTCTTGGAGTGGCCTTTTTTCGGCACCGCCTCGGAATTCAATTTTCCGGCGCCGGCCGGCGCCGGAACCGGCCCAGGCTGCCGTGCTCCTGTGTGGTCAGCCGTGCTCCTGAGGCGTCTACGGTGCTCTTTTGGGGTCTGCCGTACTCATTTGGGGTCTGCCGTGCTCCTGTGGTCGGCCGTGCTCATTTGGGGTCTGCCGCGCGCCTGTGAGATCTGCCGTGCTCCTGTTGGGGAAACGCCAGCGGCGTTCGGGGTACAACAAAAAGGCGCGTTTATGTTGTACCCGCGCGCGGTCTGCCGTGCTCCTGTGGGTTCCGCCGTGCTCCTGTGGCGTCTGCCGTGCTCCTGTGGCGTCTGCCGGGCTCCTGTGTGGTCTGCCGTGCTCCTTTGTGGTCTGCCGTGCTCCTGTGGAGTCTGCCGTGCTCCTGTGTGGTCTGCCGTGCTCTTGTGGTCTGCCGTGCTCATTTGGGATTTGCCGTGCTCATGTGGGGGTCTGCCGTACTCCTGTGTGGTCTGCCGTGCTCCGGTGGTCTGCAGTGCTCCTTTGGGGTCTGCCTTGCTACTGTGGGGTCTGCCGTGCTCCTGTGTGGTCTGCCGTGCTCCTGTGGTTTGCCTTGCTCCTGTGTGGTCTGCCGTGCTCCTTTTGGGTCTGCTCTGCCGTGCTCCTGTGGGGTCTGCCGTGCTCCTGTGGGGTCTGCCGTGCTCTTGTGGGTCTGCCGTGCTCTTGTGTGGTCTGCCGTGTTCCTGTGGTTGGTCTGCCAGTGCTCCTGTGTGGTCTGCCGTGCTCCTGTTTGGCCTGCGTGCTCTTTGGGTCTGTGCCGCGCCTTTGGTCCTGCCTGCTTTTTGGTCTGCCGTGCTCCTCAAGCGGGTCCTGCCGTTGTTGCGGCCGTCTTGAGGGCACTCTTAGGGCCAAGTTGCCGTGCTCCACGTCTTGTCTGCCGTTCTCCTCGTCTTGGGTCATCCCTTTCCGTCGTCTTCAGGACACGCAGACCGGCGGCGTTAGGAAACCGAGAGAGCACGGCAGACCACAGGAGCACGGCAGACCACACAGGAGCACGGCAGACCACACCTCGATTTTTTGAGGATGTCTCGAGCGAAATGCAAGTGGTCTGCCGTGCTCCACACGGGAGCACGGCAGACCACCTGCTCATTTTCTGAGGACGTCCCGAGCGAAAACGTCATTTTTAACATAAGAGGTTCTAAAACACTTCTGTCGGCATCTCATTTTTTCGAGGATGTCTCGAGCGAAACGCTCATTTTTCATGCATAACAGAAATTTTTGATATTTTTCAACATCCCGATTGTTTGAGGATGTCTCGAGCGAAACCGTCATTTTTGACATAAGACGTCTTAAACGATAACCTGACCGGACAAGAACGGGAAGCGCCGTTTTTTATCCACCACGTGCGTCAGAGACCGTATTGGCGAGAACGTCAGAGAAACCCATAAACGCAACAGACCAGACTAAATGGTGGCCTGCCGCGCTGGTCTGTCGAGGTAGTCTGCTGCCCTGGCCACATCATGGTGTCGACACCGTGCTTTTCTCTCGGCCACGCGGGCCCCCACCCTTTGTCGCCCAGCCTACTTTTTCTGTTCCAGCCTGTCTTGTCTTTTGTTTGTCCGTCGTCGTCGTCGCGTGCCTTTCCTTTGTCGTGGTCGTCGTTTTTATTATAATCGTCCGCTGTTGCCGTTCTCGCTGTCGCCGTCGTTATCATTTTATGATTGCGGTCGTTTTTCTGATTGTTTTTTTGTTGTTGGATTCCGTGTTCGGTTGGTTTTTGTGTTATTTTTGTGGTCGTTTTCTGTCATCGTTTTTTGTCGTAATTTTCGAGATCGTTATTGACGAAGACGACGACGACGACGATGACGACGACGACGATCTGCCGTGCTTCTGTGGCGTCTGCGGTGCTCCTGTGGTCTGCCGTGCTCCTTCTTGGTTTGCCGTGCTCCTGTGTGGTCTGCCGTGCTCCTGTGCAGTCTTCCGTGCTCCTGTGGTCTGCCGTGCTCCTTTGGGGTCTGCCGTGCTCCTGTGGAGTTTGCCGTGCGAACGTGTGGTCTGCCGTGCTCCTGTGTGGTCTGGCGTGCTCCTGTATGGTCTGCCGTGCTCTTGTGTGGTTTGCCGTGCTCCTGTGTGGTCTGCCGTGCTCCCGTGGGGTCTGCCGTGTCCTGTGTGGTCTGCCGTGCTCCTGTGTGGTCTGCCGTTCTCCTGTGTGGTCTGCCGTGCTCCTTCTTGGTCTGCCGTGCTCATGTGCGGTCTGCCGTGCTCCTGTGCGGTCTGCCGTGCGAACGTGTGGACTGCCGTGCGCATTTGGGGTCTGCCTTGCTCCTGTGTGGTTTGCCGCGCTCCTGTGTGGTCTGCCGTGCTCCTGTGTGGTCAGCAGACCCAGGGCTGAGGGAAGGCTGGAGCAGTGCTCTGGTGGTCCTTCACCCGCCCAGCTCCGTCCCCTCCCACTCTGGACCGATCTTGCGGGAAGCTGGCTTGTGGCAGCGCATCGCGCGTCGGCCGCCTGCCCAGGTGCCGGCCCGGGCGTTCGGTTCGAGCGCCGGCCTGGGTGCCGGAATCGGCCCGGAAGGGGTTCCAGGGCGCCGGGAGCAGAAAATCAATATTTTCGAAAGAAAAATATGTTTTGGAGTGGCCTTTTTTCCGCACCGCCTCGGAATTCAATTTTCCGGCGCCGGCCGGCGCCGGAACCGGCCCGGGCGCTGGCCCGGGTGCTGGCCCAGGCGTTCGGCTCGAGCGCCGGCCCGGGTGCCGGAAGCGGCCCGGAAGGGGTTCCCGGGCGCCGGGAGCAGAAAAATCAATATTTTCGAAAGAAAAATATGTCTTGGAGTGGCCTTTTTTCGGCACCGCCTCGGAATTCAATTTTCCGGCGCCGGCCGGCGCCGGAACCGGCCCGGGCGCTGGCCCGGGTGCTGGCCCAGGCGTTCGGCTCGAGCGCCGGCCCGGGTGCCGGAAGCGGCCCGGAAGGGGTTCCCGGGCGCCGGGAGCAGAAAATCAATATTTTCGAAAGAAAAATATGTCTTGGAGTGGCCTTTTTTCGGCACCGCCTCGGAATTCAATTTTCCGGCGCCGGCCGGCGCCGGAACCGGCCCGGCGCTGGCCCGGGTGCTGGCCCGGGCGTTTGGCTCGAGCGCCGGCCCGGGTGCCAGAAGCGGCCCGGAAGGGGTTCCCGGGCGCCGGGAGCAGAAAATCAATATTTTCGAAAGAAAAATATGTCTTGGAGTGGCCTTTTTTCGGCACCGCCTCGGAATTCAATTTTCCGGCGCCGGCCGGCGCCGGAACCGGCCCAGGCTGCCGTGCTCCTGTGTGGTCAGCCGTGCTCCTGAGGCGTCTACGGTGCTCTTTTGGGGTCTGCCGTACTCATTTGGGGTCTGCCGTGCTACTGTGGTCGGCCGTGCTCATTTGGGGTCTGCCGCGCGCCTGTGAGATCTGCCGTGCTCCTGTTGGGGAAACGCCAGCGGCGTTCGGGGTACAACAAAAAGGCGCGTTTATGTTGTACCCGCGCGCGGTCTGCCGTGCTCCTGTGGGTTCCGCCGTGCTCCTGTGGCGTCTGCCGTGCTCCTGTGGCGTCTGCCGGGCTCCTGTGTGGTCTGCCGTGCTCCTGTGTGGTCTGCCGTGCTCCTGTGGAGTCTGCCGTGCTCCTGTGTGGTCTGCCGTGCTCTGGTGGTCTGCCGTGCTCATTTGGGATTTGCCGTGCTCATGTGGGGTCTGCCGTACTCCTGTGTGGTCTGCCGTGCTCCGGTGGTCTGCCGTGCTCCTTTGGGGTCTGCCTTGCTACTGTGGGGTCTGCCGTGCTCCTGTGTGGTCTGCCGTGCTCCTGTGGTTTGCCTTGCTCCTGTGTGGTCTGCCGTGCTCCTTTTGGGTCTGCTCTGCCGTGCTCCTGTGGGGTCTGCCGTGCTCCTGTGGGGTCTGCCGTGCTCTTGGGGTCTGCCGTGCTCTTGTGTGGTCTGCCGTGCTCCTTTGTGGTCTGCCGTGCTCCTGTGTGGTCTGCCGTGCTCCTGTGTGGCCTGCCGTGCTCTTGTGTGAGCTGTGAGCTGCGGGGCCTATGAAGGCTAAAGGAGCCCGAGGCCCGCGGAGCACGTTGGCCCCAGGGCCTCCAGAGCCAACTAACGGGGCCCCGAAGGAGCCACCGACGGGGAGGGCGCGAAGCGCCAGACGCGCGAAGCGCCCAGATTTCAAAGAAATCAAGAATGCAGGCGGAGGCGAGGGCACGCATAGCGAGGCCAACCATGCCTGCCTTGCTGCAAACAAGACGCGAGGCCCACACTCACGACAAAATGACGAAAGGCCTCACGAACCGCGAGGTGAGGTCAGCGCACGCGTTGCCAAAGCCAAACAGGCCTGACCTCGACGAGAGGGCTGACGCACACAACAAACGACGGTGCAGCCTCCCGAAACCTCACATCGGCCAGCACACGCATTGCACACGCCAAACACGCCTGACCTGCAGAGGACGAGAGGGCAGAAACTCACGACAAAAGACTGAGCAGCCTCACGAACCTCAAGGGTGATGGCCAGCACACGCAGCCGACGCTAACATGCCTGACCTCGACGTGAGGGCTGCAACGCGCAACAAAGGAAGGTGCAGCCTCACGAACTCACAGAATGAAGGTGTCTGCTACCTGCAGACCACGAGGGAGGGCGGACACAACAGGAAGAAGATGATGATGCTGCATCACGCCCCCTCGTCTTCATCAGCGCGGCGGCGCCGCTTGCGCCTGTCCTCGCGCGCCTCCTCAGCCGCGGCCGACCACTCGAGGAGGCTCGCCTCGTCCAGGCCGTAGGCGCTCAGCCATGCCTCCCTCGAGGCCCCCGCGGGGCCAGGCACCAGCGGCGCCGCCGCAGCCTCGCCAGCGGCCGGCGCGCCGCTGGGGGGCCCGTGGCTGGCGCAGGCGGCATCGCCGCCAGGGGCACCGTCCTCGGGACGGACGCCCAGCCACTGCAGGAAGCGCACCCTGGCGTCCATCGGCACCACGTCCTCCTTGCGAAGGCTGGGCACCGCCGCGCCGACCCGCTTGTTGCCGCTGTGGGGCGTGCCAGCAGGATGCCGCCCCTGCAGCCAGCGTGCCTTCTGGTCGCGCCTGCCCTTGGGAAGCCCAGCAGACCCTGGGCATTGCTCCTTGAGCTTGGGCGCCGCGCCTGAGCGCCCGCCAAGCCGCGCGTACGCCCCGCAGTGGGTGCACGCCATCAGCTCCTGCTCGGCGGCGCCCTCCCCGCACCTGGCGAAGGCCAGGACGTGGCCAGCGAAAACGAAGGCCGTCGCACCGAGGGATACTCCACCAGCGCGCGCCGCCAAGGGCCCACCCGTCGCCCGAACCCGAGTCGACCTGGCGGCGGCGGGCAGGCTCCACCACGGGTGCGGCGAAGGAAACAGCCCTCCGCTCGCTGCCCTCTGGCAGGCCCTCGCAGTCCTTGACCTCGATCCCCTGCCAGATGAGGGGGGCCTGCGCCACCCAGCATGAGAGCTCCCTCACCACCTCCATCGTGCCGAAGAACTCCCGCCTGGCCACGGGGCTGGAGCGGTGCAGCGCCGCACCTGCCTTGGCCCAGCGGTCGGCATGACCATTGCCGCGGAGGTCCGCCTCCGTGATCTTGCCTTCCAGCACGTCACGGGCGGTGCAGTGGGCTGCCACCTTGGTAACCTTAAGCATGTCCACGTCCAGCGAAGCGTAGATCCCCGACCAGAGATGGGCATTGGGCTTGTTGGCTGCCGTCGCGTACTTCTTGCCCAACGTCAGGCAGCTGACCGTAGACGCACAATCGATGAGGATCTCGTCCACACACGGGCCCAGGAAGCGGGACAGCATCCAGACCGCGAAATCCTCACCGTCCTTGGCCGACTGGAAAGGGCAAAGGTCTTGGCGCACGCTGCCGTACACCGCGCACTCCATGTTGCCGTCGGAGTCGCACTGCACGATGCTCCAGCCCGCACGCCGCAGGCTCGCGTGCTCGGGGTCGAGCGCCGACCCATCCAGGTAGAGGCGCCCCCCGAGGAGACCGTCAACGGGGCGATTGCACCACATGACAGCCATGGCATCCGACCTCAGAGCGGCCCTCGGGGGCTGAGGGAGCCAGCAGCGCGCAAAGCACTCCCCCGCCTCCTCACCTCGGCCACGTGCACGGTGTGCACAGCGCCGCAGGCGGTCGGAGGTCGAGTCGCGCCTCGGCCCCGCGAGGACGGGACACTCGAACAGCCTGTGCCAGAGACTGCCGCGGGGTGCATCGCACGCGCAGCAGCGAGCATGCTCCCTCTCCCCTGCCGAGTGCAAACGGATCTGGGGCCAGTGGGCGTTGGAGAGAAAACTCACAACCGCCGCCTTCTCCCTGGGGCTGAGCTTGCTGCCCGACCCGAGGACCTCCGAGAAGGCCTCCCAGAACAGGGGCATCGGGGGGAGCGCTCCATGGCCTAGGCGGGCCAGCTCCGACCTGTCCGAAGCACGCCGCGCCCCTGCCGCTGCCAGCAGGCCCAGCTCGCGCGGCCCCATCATGCGCAGGTCCAGGAAGTGGCCGTCGTCGGTGGCGAGGCAGGTGCCTTGGACGAGTCTCCAGCCCACCCTGGTGAGCGAGAGAGCCAGGGCATCCACTGGCGTACGGCAATGCGCCCATGGGGCTGCTGCTCCCGCGTGCCTCCACGCCGCCTCCTGCACGGCCGTCTCGAACATGCGCTGCGAGACCTCCCCCGACTGCAGGAGGCTGGCCGCCATCTGCACCGCGGCACGAAGCAACGCGGGGCTCGGGTCGAGGTCGATGGACCGCATGACCTCCGCCGCCCTGAGCCTCAGCCCGAGTGAGGCACCCTTGGGGAGCTTCCCAGCCGAGCGCGCCGCCGCCAAGCGCCACGAATGTAGCTCCCCATCAGGCACACCAGTCACAGTGCGCCCCCACAGCATCGCTGCGGTGGGCCCAGCACGGTGGACCATCTCGGTCGCCGCCCCAGCGGAGCGAAGCACCCCGAGCCTGCGGCCACGCCGAAGGCCGCCGACCGCACGCCCAGCTCCTTCATGCACGCCTCGACGAGTGATGTTGGCGTCGGTGCCGAGGTTCCTCGCCTGCAGTCCCCTCTTGAAGGCAAGGCCCTGCGCTGCCCACTCCTCGGAGAGCTCCTTGGCGAGCTGCGGCGACGAGGCCAGGAAGACCGACTTACTCTCGTTGAGTGGGAGGTGCTGCTCACGCAGCAGGCGGACCACTTCACAGCTGGAAACCAACATCTGACGCTTGACTAGTCGGGCCGTGCCGACCGCCTGGAGCGAGATGTCGTCGACAACGTTCCGCGGCGTGATCAAAGGGCACATCGCCCCCGCGGCCAGGATGGCGCCCAGCACTGGGAGCTTCGCAACTGCTGTCGCACACGCACACCCAGCCAGAACCGCACCCGTAGTGCCGAAGGCGGGGGAAGCCATGCCCGCCGCGAGGACCATCCTTGGGGCCTGGTAGGAGGTGAGGAGGCCGCGCAGCAGCCTGAGGTTGAACCCGAAACGTACTGCATTCGCCCAGAGCACATCATGTCGCACGTGCTCGTAGAACTTGCTGATGTCCAGGAAGAGGCTCGCGGCCTCGAACTGCTGGTTCGCCATCGCGAACCCCGCAAAACAGTTGTGCAGCCACCCAGCCCGCTCACAGTCCCGCCCGTCACGTCCCCAGAAAAAGGGGAAGTCGTGGTCAGCCTCCCAGCGGGCGCAGCACGGCTGGCGGAGGCGCGACCACAGCCGCAGGACCAGCGGCAGCAGCGCAATGGGCCTTACCCCTCCATCTGCCTTCGGGATGAACACCATCAGGGAGACCTGCCCGCTGATCGATGCAGGGGCGTCGTCGTAGGCCGCCAGGATGTCCAGGATGCGCTGCTGCGGCGCCACGGGCAGCAGAAGGATCTGCCGAGGGTGCAGAGAGTCGCACCCGAGCCCCACCGAGGGGCTGTAGCGCTTGCAGGCCGCCTGGAGCTGCTCCAGCGAGATGGGTGGCAGCCGCCACTCGCCAACGCCCCAGCTGCTGGCCCCAGCGCCCAGGGCAAAGCCGTCCTGGAGCCACAGCTTCTGCCAGACACTCGTGAGCTCGCCGATCGCTGCCATCCCAACGAGCCTCCTGCCAGAGTCAGCGTCCCTGACCGTCGGCGGAGGCGTCGCCTTCGAGAAGCGGTGGGCCAGACGACCGCCCTTCTCAACCGCTGTCTGCGCCCAGTTGCGCCAGGCCTGGGCGCTCTCAGCCGCGTCGCGGCGCTGCGATGCCCCGAGCAGCCCTTGGAGGTCCCGAACGGCATCAGGGCTGCCGTGGACGCCCGCCTGAAACACCAGGTCGCCCAGTCGATCAGGAGCTGCGCCAGGAAGAGCTCCCCCGTCCGAGTCGGCAGCCTCCTGCACCGCCTCCAGCAAGAGCTGCGCTCTGAGCATGGCCTGGTGCCCGTACCAGTCTGCATGCCGAGGGTGCCAGCGGCCAGTCCTCTCAGCGCGCAGCCGCTGGAGGGCAACGTCCAGGCAGCTCCGCAGGCGGTGCGTGAGGAGGCTGAACCTGAACCTGGCGTCTCGCTTGACCAAGGCACTGAGGGGCTTGAGGGTCAGCCGCGGCCCCTCTCCTCTGCCGAGGTGACGGGCCAAGTCGGCCTGGACGATGCCGTGGATGCCGACCAGGGTGCCTTCTGCCGCCGCAGCCCACTCGCTGAAGGCGTCGGAGAGGTTGGTCGGTGAAGTGCCTGCGTCCCAGGACCACGCGACGCTCCTGGGCGTGACCTGTCCTTTCTTGCCAACCGAGTAGCACGCAATCTCCGCGTCCTCGCGCGCCCGACGGAGCTCAGGAGCAACTTCGGGGAAGCGTGCGGGCCTGGACGGAACCTCCACCAACGCATCTGCCCGAACGTCCTGGAGACGAAGCAGGACAGGGCGATGAGGGTGCAGACCGAAGCCCTCGAGCGTGGTGGCGCAGGAGGCCGTGCAGGCTGCCAGCGCCGAGGAAGCCACGAACCAGTCGTAGAGGTGGTCACATCCCTCGGCATGGCAAGTCGCCTCCGAGGGCCCCAGGACATGCCCCCGCACCGCAGCGGGCCACCCCAATTCCTCCAGTGGCTCGGGCTCCATGTTGAAGTCGGCTTGGAGGACCCACGGGATGTCGGCAGAAAAGCCCGTCACTTCCGAGATGGCCGAAAACAAGTCCAGGTTGGTGCCTCGAGGGCCCACAGAGTGCTGAAAGTACCCAGCCAGCACCAGGACCCTAAAGCCCGAGGCGGCGGCGACCTCCACCCCGATGAGGCGGTGGCGCAAGGCCGAGGGCAAAGGGCGCGCCGACTCGTCGGCCTGCAAGCCGTCTCGCACCAGAATCGCCACGCCGCCTGAGGTCGCCTGGGGCCCTTGCTTCTCCGTCGGCGCCGCCTCGTGGAGGAAGGCCGCGTAGCCCAGGCCGCGGGCCTGAGCCGCAGCACTGGGCAGGCGCGCACGCAGGAGCCTCGTCTCCTGCAGCGCCACGACGTCAGGCCAGTAGTCGTACGCCTTGAAGAAGGCCTCGAGGGCTTCAACGCTCCTGCTCCAAGCGTTGCCGTTGCAGCCGAACATGACGAGGCCGGCTCTAAGCTGCTGGCCTCCTGCCCTGCCGACCTGCGGCGCCTTGCCGATGACAGCTGCCTCGCGAGCGGCCCGCCCATCAGCGTCAGACACGGGGCCCGCTGTGCTCCTGGTCGCGGGACCCTCCGCCCCCGCCAGGACTGGGGGGGGGACCTGGCCCCTCGCTCCAGCGCTCCTCAGCGGCGTCGGCGGGCCGCTCGCCAGAACGGGAGGTGGCCGTCCCTCCCTCCGCGGCGCGCCATCGCAAGGCTGGGGAGGTGGCCGTCCCTCCGCCCCTCCGGTTGCCAGCGGGGGGTGCGCATGCCCATCACCAACGGGGCCGAGAGCTGCGACGTCGTGGGGCTGAATCCCACCGCTCTCGGCCCCTGACTGGCCGTCGGGGGGCCACCTCGGTGATCCCGACCGCGCCAGCTGGCTACCTCGGGCGAGGGTGCTCGGCGCCGCCCGCCGCCTGCGGGGGGCGCGGACGCGCCAGCGGCCGTCACAGCGCCTCCTCCACCTGTCCCAACAGCTGGGCCCGCGCACATCCCGAGGGGATGGCGTCTCGCTGGCCCCCACATCGAGGCCGACTGTGGAAGCTGACCACTCCCACGCTCCAGCATCACCCACGGCGCGGCCCGTACCCAGCAGCAGGAGCAACGACAGCAGCCGCAGCCAACAAGGGGTCGCCGTCCGTGAAGGCCGCCCCTTGCTCGGCGAGGGCCTTGGTGAGGCTGGGCTCCACCTGAGGCCACGTGCCCAGGGTAGCCCCGTGTTGGCCACGGGCCGCTGCAGGGCCGTAGGGTCCGTCCGCTGGCCTGACCCGCGCGGCTGGCGGCCCAGCCGCGGTCGGCCCTGCCAGCGGGGCGGCCGCGGGAGGGGCGGCCGCAGGCCCACCTGGGGCCACGATGTCGAGCGGCATGTCGTCATCCTCAGTCGCGAGGCCGTCCTCACCGACGCTGTCGCCCCAACGCTTCCTGACCGAGCTGCTTCGGGGCCTGAGCACGTCAGCGACCGCCTCCTTCTGCGTGTTGAGAATCTCGACGATCTCCGAAAACCTGGGCGGCAGGTCGGCGCCGTGCTGCTTGAGGAGATCCGAAAGGGCGCCAACCTGAGGGAGCAACCCCTGGACAGCGTCACCAAGCGGGCTCGGCACGCCTCCGACAGCTGCGTTGGCCCGCTGGATCGCCTGCTGAGTGACCTTGGCCCTGGTCTCTTCCAGCTCTGCAATCTGCCCAGTGACTTCATCAACCCCCAACTCGGCAGCCGATAGCTGCTCCTGCTTCTCCGCGATGAGATCGCGCAGCTCGGACGCCTGCAGCTGGAGCTTCTCCTTCCTGGTACGCGCCGTGGCCAACTGGCGCTCGACCTTCTGGATGGCGTTGGCCTCAATGTGGAGCACAGAGTGAGGCGGGCGCTCCGTCTGCTGGGCCTCCTGGACGGACCGCTCCAGGGCGGCGACCTGGTCCTTGCCCTGCTGGAGGGCGTTCTCCGCCTCACGCTGGAAGTCCGCTGAGAGCCCGGGCGCCGAAGCCCCCTGGAGCGTGGCGACGCGCTCCCTCTCCGCATCGAGCTGCGCCTGCAGCTCCTCGTTCTGCGTCTTGGCCTCTCCCCAAGGCCGCGCGCGCCGCGCCCTGCTGTTGGGGGCGCTGCTGGGCGCGGTGCTCCCCGAGAGGGCCCGCTGGGAGGCCGAGCGCCTCGCAGCGCGTTGCTCAGCCCTTCCCCTGGGCTGCTGCACGAACCCGTCTGCGTCCGCCCGCGGGGGGGGCTTGTCAGAGCGATACTCCTTCGTCCATGGGGGAGCACTGGTGCCGCACGCCTTGCACGTCCACCGCTTGTCACACCAGTACCAAGCACTGCAGCCACGCTTAGCACACAACCAGTACGCCCGCCTGGCCAGCCCTGAGGCGACCTCCGACATGGCGGCTCACCCAGGGAAGACTGACAGCTGCGCGGCCGATGCACTCGGCCCTGCAGGAACGAAGAAGACCAAAATAGGCGAAGCTTCTGGCTCGCGGCGGGGCGCCCCTCGCGCTCAAGAACGCCCGACGGACTCGCGGTCGTCGGGTGCGCCATGGCCTTGAGCCAAAATGGCTACGGACCGTGCTCTTGTGTGGTCTGCCGTGCTCCTGTTGGTCTGCCGTGCTCTTCTGTGGTCTGCCGTGTTCCTATGGGGTCTGCCGTTGTTCGGCCGTCTTGA